CGGCTTGCAGGGAAACAGGGGTTTATTAACAAAGAATAAGAAGAAACAAAAGGACCACGTGGGGTCAAACGTAAACGGGGATAAACAAATACTAATTACAATAAGGGGCAGGTAGGTAACAAAGAAACAGCATAAGACCTCAAACACAAACAAACATCAATACATCAATGACTCCAGGAAGAACAGAACAGGATCAGGAACTTAAATACAAAAAGTAAACCGGGTAACGACACAACAGGAGTGAGACATAGACAATTAACCAATCCAGGAGGGAGCAGGTAAACATGGACGGGCAGGCACAAAAATAGGCAACAGCTGAAACTAATAATTAAACTCAGGGAACTCAAAGTAACAAAGAAACTAAGAAACAGAATCCAGGGGAATAACAGACAGGTAAAAACACAAACACAGGCACAAAGCATGAAACCAAAACCAAATACAAACCACAAGACACAGGAACAAGAAAACTCATACAAATGAAACACTAGGGAACAAAATACAAAAACTGAAGAGGTGGGATTCGAACACGTGACGAAAGGGATGTGCAGGTAGCCACATGAGTCATGCGGCTGACAGGAAACAGGGGAAACAAAGACTGACAGGAGGGACAGTGACGTCTGCTGCCCAAACGAGGAAGGAACACCGAAGACTGAGACCACAGAAGCTGACCCTGACACTTGACTGGTTAATCTTTTCATAAATTGTTTTCCGAAATCTGTAGTACTTAGTAGAACCTACATGTAATCAAAATAAATGTTAATATTTCTGCAAAGTTTAGTACTGTAACCTACAGTGGGCTGGTACTGACTCTGTATTATTATGTGTATAAATGGTGTAAGAGGGAGTGAGAGTTAATCAGCCTGGTAATTTTCATACTGTCCCTGCAGGTGTGTCCACAGTGAAATGGGTGCCTGTACAGAGAGGAGGATCTGTCACCATCCCATGTTTCTATGGTGACAGATATAAAACTCATGTGAAATACTGGTGCAGAGGGTATTATAGGTTTTCATGTACTTCCATAGTACACAGTGATTCTCCACAGGAGGGTAATGTGTCAGTCAGAGATGATCCTAACCAGCAAGTCTTCACTGTGACCATCAACAGTCTGACAGCTGGGGACTCTGGTTATTACTCCTGTGGTGTGAAGATCAGTGGAGGTTCAGATGTTGGAGATCAGGTTTACCTGTCAGTCATTGATGGTAAGATGTCTGTACTACAGACTGTAGCCAATGAGATGCACAGAATGTAACATGTCATTCAGTCAGAAAGGAAGGACACTAACACAGAAAGAATAAAAATATTTTGACATTTAGTAAATATATAGAATAGATTCCAAATTTTACTTTTGTTCAACAGCATAACTAAGAACATTAAAAAGTAACAACATCAATTTAAATTTGTTGTCTTTCACTCTGCAGCAGGTTTGGAGAGCTAGTTACCCTCTAGCTGGTAGAGACTGGGGGCAGCGTGGGGGCCTCACACCTCCAGGCTTGTGGTTTNATGTCCTCCCATAGTACACAGTGACTCTCCACAGGAGGGTAAAGTGTCAATCAGAGATGATCCTGACCAGCAAGTCTTCACTGTGACCATCAACAGTCTGACAGATGGGGACTCTGACATCTACTCGTGTGGTGTGAAGATCAGTGGAGGTTCAGATGTTGGAGATTGGGTTTCTCTGTCAATCACTGATGGTAAGATGTCTGTACTGCAGACTGTAGCCAATGAGATGCACAGTATGTAACATGTCACTCAGGTAGGAAGGAAGGATGTGAACACAGAATGAATAAAAATATTTAAATATTTTTTTAATATTTAAAAAATTTATAGAAGAGATTCCAAATTTTACATCTGTTCAATAGCATAATTCAAGATGCAAGAGGATTATTTGTCACGTACACAGTTGTACACATACAACATGTAGTGGAATGTCACCCTGGTCACTCCGAGCAGCTGTGCATGATAAGAGAGTAACAAAATATAGAAAAAA